CCCCCCCCACTACCATCAGCCCCCCACAAACACACTTATAACAGCCCCCACCCCTCACCTCCCTTTTTTTCCTCCCATGGCCAGTGAGAAACTCCAGGGTTGGGAAAGGTCAAACTTTCGACTCAGTCAAAAGAATAAAACCAAATCCCAGTGAATGGCAATGTTAACAAAATAGACGCAATGCCTTTTCTGCACCTTTTCCTCGTATGAAAGCTCCTCAGTTGGTTTTAGAACATAAAACTCTCTGAGACAGGCTGTGGTTGACTTGTAAAACTACCAGTGTGTTCCTCTGCAAAGTTCTTTTTCAACAAGGCCAAGGTCACCGGGCCAGGTCCCAGTGTTCTTCCGGTTGTTACACTGTTGCTTCTTCTGGGCCTTAAGACAGGGAAGGCAAGAAGCACCACGTTCCTAACCTCTTGAGACAATGAACGCCACTGTCCACTCCAGACCTGCCATGGCCAAGGCCAAGAAGACACAGAGTCCTCCTTCCTACGTCCAATAAAGCGTCCGTGGTCCCCGGCCCAGGACCACGTGGCTTCAGAACCAAGAGGCGTGGGGGACAGCCGTTGTGCATGAGAGTGGAACCCACCAGGAACCATCCACAGATGTGACATACACCATTTGCTCCGGCACAGTCACAATACAAAATCACCAAGGAAGCCTAAAGCATGGGCTGCAAAAGAGTAACAACTCAAACGTCACACTCACCATTCGAAAAGGGAACTCAACCTATACGCATGTCACAGTTCAACTTTTAAAAACAAGTAAAAAATTTATAATTCAAACCGTCTCAATTTTTCAAACTCTAAAAGTCCTTGGGGAAAGCTATTTCTCCCCCCACCCCAGAAAGGCTGCAATTTTTCGGACAGCCATCACACCTCCCCTCCCACAGCAGGATGGTGCTCCCTTACCTGGCTCCGAAGCCGGGGGCTTCTCCTGTCTCCATTCCGGGGTCTTCAGGATGGGTCTCCAAGGAAGGTGAGGCATCACCTGCGCCCAGGGTCTCCGGACCACTTGTCTCACCAACTCCCAGCTCCCTGGCCTCCAAGGGGTCTCTGGCCTCCAGGCCAGGGCTGTCCCTGTGGCCCAGCTCTGCGCACTGGCTGACCTCTCCGACCCCATGCTCCCTGGCTTCACTCGGGGCCCCAGAGAGCTCCGTGATCCGGAGCCCCAAGTCCTGAGTCCAGTCCATCTGCCCCACTCCACATCCCCGCGGCTCCCGAGAAACTTCAGTCTCTTGGTCACATGGCACCTCCAAATTTTTCAGGCCCAGATGGTTGCCCCAGTCCACCTGGCCCACCCCAAGCTCCCTGGGGCTGCAGCCTGCTCCTGGGGCCATGTTTCTCAGCCCCAGGTCAGGTGTCCAGTCTGCCTGTCCCACTCCACGCTCCCTTGATTTAAGGAATTCTCCGGCCTGCACACCTGACCAGTCGATCTGCCCCACGCCACTCTCTCTGGCCTGGCTGTGGCCTCCTGCCTCCCCCACCCCAGCCAAAACTCTGCCCCTCACCCCAACATCAGAAGTCCAGTCCTTCTCCCCAACTCCAATCCCCCTGGGCTCCTCAGACCCTCCAGTCTCCAAACGGCTGACCAGGTCCACGTCTCTCAAGCCCAGGCTGTCCGACCAGCCCATCTGTCCCACGGCCTCCTCTCTGGCCTCACTCAAGCCCCCGGAAGCCACACAGCTGGACACCTCCAAGTTCCTGAGGCCCAGCTGGTCAGTCCAGTCCACAGGCCCAGCTGAGGTCTTCTCAGGAGACACAAAGGGGCCACCTCCAATCTTGCCAGAAGGGCTCAGGCCAGGACCGCTCACTCGGTCCTTACCAATGATGCCGAACTGATGGCCCCTCTTGGTAGCCTCCATGCAGAAGTCACTGCTCCAGTCTCGCTGCCCTGGGCTGAAGGGCGCCTCTGGCTGCGGGACGACACTGAGGCTAAAGTCGCCGGCCCAGCCTCGCTGCCCCACTTCCCTGCCTTCCTGGTCAGCATCGCCTGGGCTCGGGGCCCGGGCCTGTCTCCCCTGAAGCCCTCCACCCTCCTGGCAGGCACCGCTGACCTGCCAGCTGCTCTGGTCTCTCTGTGCCAGCACCCCCTCCTGCGGCTCGGGGGTGCTGGGGCTGAACAAGCCCCCCGACTCTCTCTCCTCAGGCCGGCTTGCATCCCCACTGGCCTTGCCCAGGCTGTCTCCGCCACCCGGAATCTTCTTCTCGAACTCCTCGTCCTGCTGTTGGGCTTCCTCGGGACTGAACCCGGTGCTCAGGGCTCTCGTTCCGGAGCCCGCGTCCTGGGGGCTGAGAGCCGTGGGGCTGCCACCGCTGCTGTAGTCCCTCGTCCAGGCACTCTTCCCGAAATCCCGGCCCGGCTGCTCAGCACCCTGGCTGCCCAAGGTGCCAAGTGAAGAATCTCTCTTCCCAAACTCCTGCTCCTCGGCATCCTGGCTGCCACACCTGCCGAGGTCATCGTCCTTCCCCAGCTCCCGGCTCTGCTCGTCCACGTCCTGGCTGGCGTAAGCGCCCAAGGAATCTCTTTTCCCCAACTCCCAGTCCCGAAGGCTCCCGTCCCGACTGCCGTAAGGACCCAGCGAATCTCTCTTCCCGAATTCCTGGTCCTGGAGCTCCACAGCCCGGCTGGAGTAGATGCTCTGGGAATCCCTCTTCCTGAACTCCCAGTCCTGAACATCCGCATCCTGGCTCTGGGTGCCAAGCGGGGCTGGCTTTCCAATCAGCGGGTCCTGGGCTGTGAGCCCCCCTGCNGCTCCCTTGCCTGGAAAGCACCCCTACCACCCCTCCACTCCCTGTCCCTGCAATTCAACTCCTCCTCTGAAGCTGGCCTTCTCCCCTCCGCCAGCCACCACTCCTTCTCAGCCCTGCAAGCCCAGGGGTCCACCTGTGCCAGCCCTGCCTCAGAGTCGAGGTTCTTTGTCCCCACTGCCAGTCTGTGACAGCTCAAGGGCCCAGATGGGGCCCCTTTTGCCTTTGTGCCCCCAGCGCCTGGTCCAGGGCCCGGCCAGGAGCAGGACTAAGCAAACGTTTGCTGAGCGAATGAGAAACAGGGAGTCACTGCACCTCATTGCAGCTTATGTGTCTTCTGCCTGCTGCTCCCTCAACACACACACACACACACACACACACACACACACACACACACACACACACACACAGTACAAGGGGCTCGTGACGATGTCCAGCTGCCAGCCCTGACACACAGACACACCCTGCACACACTCACAACACACCTCATGCGGGAAGGTGTGAGCTGTTCATTCATCACTCCCCACTGACACACGCGCTCACCCCAGGCTCACACCGTGAGGCCACGCCTTGAGTGCCTGACCGACTGGAGGGGGAGGAGAGTGAGGCAGGCGAGTGGGTACCAGGGTGGAAGGGGGTTGGTCGGGAGAGGACATGTGTCAGTCTGTCCTTCCACAAGCTGCTGACAGATGGAAATTAAAGCGGTCTGGGCAGGGAGGGAGGGCGCGGAGGCAGCAGCAGAAGCCCAGCAGCCTTGGATGGGGCCCAAAGCCAGCTCACCCTTCCGCTTCACATCAGGGAGGCCGGGGCAGGAGAGGGTGACACCAGCACCCCGCCCAGCCTGCACAGGCCCTGTCCCAAGCCGCTCCCTGGGATAGAGCAGCGTGTAGCTGGGGAAGAGCTGAGAGGATGTGAAACAGGGGATGGGAGATGGAAGGTCCACATCCCGAGGGAGACCTGGCCCCATGCCAGGCGGGCAGGAGGCAGGGGAGCTGCACGATAGGCTCTGGGGAGACCCGGGGGGGGGGGCAGGGTGCTGTGTGCATCATCCCTGCTGCTGGCCTGTCTAAACCCCACTCATTCATCTTCACCTCAGGAGAAGCTTTCCTACCTCTGAGCACCCAGAACACCTATAACCTGAACCCCTCCCTGGCAGGCAAACAGTTCCTGACCTGGGCAGAGCGCTGTCACTCCAGGACAGATTTGGGCTCCACCCCCTATTATGCCTGTGGCCTTGGCAGTTATTTATCCACTCTGAGCCTCGGTTTCTTCATCTGTGAAATGGAGATGAGAGAAGTACCTAGACAGTGCTGGATTTGTTGGCAGACATGTGTGCCCAGCACATAGCTAACGCTTGATCAATTTTTAAGGTAATCACCATCAACCTTAACCCAGGTTCTTGGCCTGAGGACTTACTTCATCTTATACCATCTACACCCCTCTCCCCATCTGGACTCTGAGTTTCCTGAGGGCTGGACTCTATCCAACCCTAACCCCCACCCCCACTCCAGGAGCAAACTCCGGGAATGGTATGTACTAAATATGCAAAGAATCAGCTTCCCAGCGTGTCAGGCTCCAAGACCTGATATAAGGGAGGTCAGGGCTAGAGCTGGAATGATGTGTCTAAAGGAGAAGCGACTAGCCTTGACCCCGAGAGGCAGAAAAAGCATCCAGACAGATGACCCCAAGACTGAGGCCCTAGGGAACACGAAGGAGCCCACAGTCCCAGGCTGTGGGTCCCTCGTGCAAGTCACACTGCCTCCCTGGGCTTCAGTTTACCCACCCATGGAATGCAGGGCTTGCCTCAGTGATCTCTGGGTCCTCTCAGATGTTCTGAAGAGCCCAAAATGACCGCACAGGTGTCTACAGGCCCAGCGGGAGGGGCAGGAAATGACCAGGAGGTCAGAGAGGGGAGAGGGCAATGCAGCAGCTCTTGGGGGACCCAGGAGCACCACTCCCAACAGGACAAGATGGCCCTCGACACAGAGCAGAGGGGGTCCGGGCTCTCCCCACATTCTCCCCACGTCCCTCCTACCCCCATGCTGGTCTCGTCACAGCTGTGCTGGGCAAAATTCCAGCCAATGAACATCAAGGGAGGAACCTTTGTCCCACACAAGAAAATGACAAAAATGTCCCCAAGGGCCTCATTTCATGAACACATCTACCCAAATCTGCAAAACAGGTACAACTACACGTGGTGAGCATTTTTTCGGTGATGACCATGTGCCAGATAAACCTCCATCACTTCACCTGTGTTGGCTCCTAAGCCCGACAACACAGCCCTGTGAGTATTGGGAGTAAATGACTCGCAATGTACAGACGACGAATCGGAGGTCCTGAGAACAGAAGGAGCTCACCCAGGGTCAGAGGTGGTGGCGGAATCAGGACCCGAGCCTGGCAGACCGGCTCAGGGCCAGACGGCTCCGAGCTACTATCAAGGACTTCTCGTTCCCAGAGGAACCTCCAAAATTTCCTTCAAAGAACAACTTTCCAGAGGGTAGAATTTCCCTCAGTCAGATGTTCAGAACACGAGCTCCTTGGATGCCAGTCAAGTAAGTTTGGGAAACATTGTGTTAGAGAAAGGTAAGTATTTCCTTGCCCCTGTGCTTTATCGGGCTCAGATATGCTAATACACACCCTCTCGACGCCTCCAGTGTGGCCACACAGTGCGCAGNGCTGTCCTGCCAATACTTCTTGACGGATCACAGGGGGAGGAGTGATTTTCCAAGGTTGAAGCTGTGCCTCCTAAGCTCTGCTCGGAGCCAGGGATGGGAGAACCCAGCCTGGGAGCCCTGTCCTGGGACAAGGAAAGGTTAATGGGGAGGCCGGTCCTCCAGGCACTTTCAGGTGAGACAAGGGCAGGGCTGGAGGGCAGAGCGGGGCAGGGGCCTTCAGCTTTGGGCTCCGCTCTGTCCTTCACAACGGCAGCAGGGAGAGGGGAGCCTCTGAGCCCAGCAGAGCCACCAAGGGCCCAGAGGGTCCAACTGTGCCTCGAGCTGACTCTTCCTGCCCTGAAGATGGCCTCCGCGCAGCTGATGGCACCTGTAATCCCTCAGCCTCTTCCTCCAATGCCCTGTGCCCCCCCCCAACCCCCCAGGGGCACCTCCTTGCCAGCCTTCCTGTACACTGGCACAAACTCTGGGGAAGTGTTTTACATGCAACAGTCTCCAACCTGGCCGTGATCTCTGTGCAGTGACACTAGCTGGCCTGGCATCAAGGTGTGTTCACGTCTTATCACTCCCATCAGACACCTCACGGGCAGACCGTGCCCTTTTCATCCTCACACACACACACACACACACCAACACCTGGCACACTGCTCCACCCACAGCAGGAGCTAGCAGTTAAGAACACACACTTTGGAATCAAACAGGCCTAAATTCAAACCCCAGCTCTGTCTCTTACTTGCTGAGGAACCTTGGGAAGTCACTTGAGCCTCAGTTTCCTCATCTCTAAAATGGGTCTAATATTCCCTTCACTCAACAGCCTGGCTGTGGATCAAATGAGGAAAAGTTCAGCTCTAAGTATAAAAAACTAAAAATAAACTTCCATACTGTACATTTGAACTCTACCATAAGCACACATCACCTCTGTAAAGAGGATGACAGTTGTAAAGAGGACGCAGGAATAATGACACCGTCCGCTGACAGGATGCTTTGTGACTTAGACCAGGGACTGCCTGCACTCCCAGCACAACTAACCTGTAAGTGAAGGTCACAGTCCCAAACGGGGCCACCCGCTTCATCCTCACCTCTCCTTGGGGGTCTGGCTGTGCTCTTCCGGGCACTCTGTAGGGGATTTTGCCGGCCCCTCCTGGGACCATCCCCTGCAGAGTGTCCCACCATCCTCATCCCTGGGACCTGCAGCCACGCCATAGGTCCTGGGGCCGTATCTTGAGCTGCCATCATGGTTGAAGGTGAGGCGGGAGCCCCAGAGGCGGTCAGGACTGGCAGGGACTCCCTTCCGCGGCTGCTCCATCTTGGCCAGGATCTCCTCCACTGTGGTGGCTGCAAAGCGCTCTGAGGATGGACGGAAGGGGGCAGGGGCCTTCCGCACGCCCCCAGGGGCAGCACATCGAGCTGGGGGTGTCAAGGGGGGCATCTCTTCTTTCCCAGCCTCTCGGGTGGCTTCTTCTCCAGTAGAGGCCTCAGCTGTTGGTCTTGATGCAAAGGGTAGGGAACGCTTGCTGCCACCATAGGGCTGGGGTCCCGCCAGCATGTTCATCTTCCGGGCAGAAGGCAGCTCAGCCAAGGGACCCCGGGGAGGCCGAGGCCCGACAGGCACCAGCAGGGTGGGCTTGGCAGGCAGAGCTGGCTTTGTGGGCAGGGCCCGGGGCTTAGGCTTGATAGGGGGTTTGGCCCGAGAGTCACCTACCAAAAGGAAGGGGTTGGGTGAGGGTGGGGGCTGTCGGAAGAACCAAGAAGCAGAACTTCATCTCCCATTCCCTATAAGCTCAAAATGTTCACATCCTTCTAAGCACAAGTCAAATGTCACCTCTTCCATGAAGTCTCCCTTGATTTTCCACACACATCACAGAAGCATCCTTCCTCTGTCTCCAATCCCAAAATGTTTAATAAATCCCCCTCATAAGCTAAAGCTATTTAAGGGTCCAGCTGGCACCTTATTTCTCCTTATACTCACTCCACTTTGCACCTAGCATGGGTTCTTAGCAAACGAATGAATGAACGAGCCAATAAATGGATGCCTACCTACCCATATCAAGCAATCAGCCCACCATCTCCCCAATCCAGCCCAGTCCTCTTACAGGACACTCTACTATCCTACCATCCATAGTAAGCTTTTTATCCTAGCTGCCCCTCCCCTAGTGCACACCCAGGCCACCTCCCCACTGTCCTCCCGTGTGTGATCAGGAATGCAAACTTACTATTGACCTAACCCACACAGAAGTGAATCTGCTACAGGGAAAAAAACAAGACCAGAAGCCTACCTTCTATGTAAGGCTCTCAAAGCCAAATAAAAGACCTTAGAATTACTCATGGCCACGGCCCTTCTAATAGAATCCTCTATCACCCACTCATTTGGCTCAGCCTAAGAAAGGAATCTAGACAGGAGCCAGGAGGCCTGGGTTCAAGCAGCCACGTGCACGCCATTTCTCCTCTGGGTCCCTATTTCCTCCTCTTAAAACAGGTGCCTTTATCCACATCATCTGGAAGGTTAGCCTGTTCCTCCTATCTGCCAGACATCGATGACCTCAAACAGTTCTGAAGGGTCTCACCAGGAGCTGAGAACCTTTCAAACTCATCCTGCATGTCCTCAACACTCCCCCGTCCCCACTCCCATCCCATCTCAACAGAATTATCACTTGCCCACCCCCTCCAAGACAGAATGGGAGGGTTCAGCCTCTGCCCCCCCCCACCGTCCTCCCAGCCACCCTGCTCCACCCTGCACCCATAGGCACCTGGCTCAGAGCCAGCAGATACCAGCTCCTCCTCCATCTCCTGGGGTGGCGGGGAAGCCATGGCTGCGCCTTCCCTGAGAGCAGACACTTTCATCACATGCGGAAGAGCCTGCGTGAGAATTGAGAAGCAGAGGGGTGTGAGCTGGGGTGGCCTAAGACCCAGGAAGAGAGAGAGCGTGAGGAAAAGGCAGGAGAGTTGGGCGCTGGCAGCACGCTTGGTCGAGGGAAGCCTCCTGCTCCCAGCAGAGGCAGAGTGTGGGACAGGAAGAGGAAACTTCAGAGGGGCTGAGGGAGGTCACGGGAGGTCCCCAGCAGCCACATCCTCTGCTCTTCCCAGATTCCTCTCCAAGTCTGGTCCCCGAGCCTCAAAGGCCTGAAGTTTCAGGTAGCCACCCATTCCGCCCATTCTTCCTCCTCTGGTGGGCTCTCTAAGATACCCCACTTACCCTTCACAGGGAACCCCTTGGGTCCAGCCGCCCCACTTGAGGTATCTACTCAGGGGCAGAGCAAGAGGGCCCAAAGTCTGAAGTCTTTCCGTGAATCACCTCATGGGAGACGGGAAAAACCCGCTCCTCCCCAACCTGGGGCTCCGCCCCACTGCCTGCCTCCCCCTTTCCGCTCCCCTCCTCCCCTCCCTCCCTCCAGCAGCTGGGAGTGGTTCCCCGTTCCCTCTTCCCCCCTTCTCCTTCCATATCCCTGCCCAACTGCCGCTTCCCTCAGAGCTGTCTCATCCAAACACGGAAAAATAAGGACTAAGAAGTAAACATCTGGAATACATTTTTTTCTTTAATTTCTCAATCGCTTTGGCTTCAGCTTGGAATTTGATGAGGTAAAGCCAGGGCCTAGTCCTGTTGCCATAGCAATGGCCTCCCACTGGATTTCCCGAGCAGAGCCCAGAGGAGGGAGGAGCCGGCCCAGGCCTGGGCTGGGAGAATGGGACAGGGCTTGAGAACATCCGGGGGGTGGGGAGGCGTGGGGGGGGGAAAGCTCTCTGGGATTCCCCCTTCTCCAATAGTCGGGATGGGACCGCCACAGCCTATGGGCAGCCCTCACCAGCCCAGGTTTGCCCTGAGGAGTTTTGAGGGAGAAGAAATTTTAAACGAAGTGACACAGCCCTATGGTAGAAACCGAATGGGTGTCCCTCCTCTAAGCCAGCACCACGAACAAGCGTCACGGTCTGACACACCGGGATTCAGCGCTAGGTAGGTCTACCACTTTCTCGCTGTGTGCCCTTAGGCACCGTGCTTACTTCTCCAAACCTCAGTTTCCCTATGAGATAAATGAAGTTACTGAGACTATTGGGAGGTTTATGGGAGATGATGCATGCAAACTGCTTGGCATAATGCGTAGCACGTAATAAGTGTCCAATAAATGCTGGTCGTTATTAGTACAATGCCATTCAGTATCACCCATGAGCTAACATCCTTGGTAACCACCTCCTCCTCTCCCCAGTCCATTCCTTCACTCACACAGGCCCCAGTCATGTCACCTGGTCTTCAGACACTGCACCACCTCCTCAGTTCTCATCCTGGCTGCTGGAGCACCATCCCACCCACAGCACCCCCACCCCAGGCTTTGCAGACTCGGGGACAGAGTACTGTCCCTCTTGTTACAAAGGAAGGGGAATATTTCCTATCACCTGGTATGCACAGAGCCCAATGGGCACTGCCTTCCTCAAAGTCACCTCCTGCAGCTGGCTTGGGAAAACAGCATCAAGTCCTAAGAAGGGCCCTCTGATGCCCAACATTTGCAAAACCCACCCACCCCTCACCTCTGACACTGCCCCAAGTTGTTTCAAAGATGGGAGAGAGAATGAAGAGCTAAGTAGAGAGAAACCCAGAACTGGCAATTCCCTCGGTCAGCCAACTTCCACGGAGCACCGCTCACTATGGGTGGGTAAATAACTGTGCAGAGCCAGTCCAAGTGTGCATGGGGGAAGGGCACGCGATAGAAAAAATAAAATAAAAACACCAGATTGTTTCCTTGTCCTTGAACATCATTACAAGGGACATGGTGTAGGTGGTTAGAAATGCGGACAAACTGGCCCAGAACTGAAATACGCTTTCTCCTGGGGGCCTGATGGGCACCTCTGCAGTATGAGGGGGTGCAGAAATGAAGTGGGGGCTCAGCTTCCCCAACTGAGGAGAGGCCACCGCAGCTCAGAGGCCCTGGCCAGAAAACCCAGGTGACCAGGGCCATAGCCAAAAGCTGCAGAATCACAGGGGCTCTCAGCACTCTCCCCCACCCCGCAGGAGTCAGGGGGAGACTAGCTGACCCCAGGAGCAAAGGCTGCCACAAGGGCTGGGGAGAAGCCGGGCAGCTCCAGCCCGGGGAGGGACCCCAAGAGGCATCCGCGCAGGCAGGTTCGCCCCTACGGTCCCTGGGATCTCCAGCCGGATCCCGGGCCAGAGAGGTAGGCAGGGACAGCACGTTAACTGCTGGAGGAGGGAGGGCCAACGGGAAGACGGAACAGCCTGGGGCGAGGGGCCTTCTGGAGAGGCCCAGTGGGGAGCTCTGGACACAGAGGGGATGGCAGCAGCCGAAGAGGAGGAGGAGAAGAGGGTGGAGGAGGAGGGGGTGGCAGAAGCGGAGGACCTGTACGCAGGATGTGAAGCAGCCGGCGAACAGACGAGGGACTGGGGACGCAGACTGAGTGGGGGCGGACTGGGGTGGCT